AAGATCTGCAGTCTCTGTGAAACTTACTGGTCATCTCTGAACACCAGCATTGGTTATACCTGTTCCTTTTAGATCACAGAATCACAGAATCCTTAAGGTTGGAAAAGACCTTTAACATCATCACATCCAACCATCAACCCAACACCACTATGCCCACTAAACCAAGTCCCAAAGTGCCACGTCTACATGGTTTTTGAACACCTCCAGTGATGGTGATTCCACCACCACCCTGGGCAGTCTGTTCCAATGCTTGACCACTCTCTCCGTAAAGAAATTTTCCCCAAAAGAAAGATCTAATTCCCAAGGTTTACTCATTTTTGAGATAGATAAAAAAGAAATATAACCATATTTATGTAAAACGGAAAGAGCCTCTTCATCTTCTTCTCATCTGTAATCATTCCTTTCTGTACAATATTGTATCCTGAAAGTTTAGACCGCATTAAATTACAAGTTTGATGTACACGCATGTTTATGCATCTCAAAGCTGTCACATTTGTGAATAGTTAATCGCATGAGATAGCATATAGCTCTTTGTTAGCGCTGCTCAATACTATCCGCCAGTCTTTGCCACAGGTTAGTCGTAGCGCCATTTCTTTTATGATTGCATCATAGGCCTTGTAATAGTGCAAAATAAAATGTTTCATGTATTTTACATGTAACACAGCTAGTGCTGCAAATCTTGAAACTGAGGTCCAGACTTCTTTTTTTTCTTCCTAAAATTTTCCTACGCAAAAGTGGTAGATTGTTCCTAAGTGATGTGTGCTTATTTAGATGCTTAAGTACTGTCAGCCTAAGTGACCTGGCAGTCCTTGTTTAAGGATCAGTTGAGTGAGGAGGGACTGGATGTACCGCACTGAAAGCGTTGTTCCAGAAGCAGCTGTACCTCTGGTCTGCAGGATTTTAGCGTGCCCCTTCAAGTTATACACCTCACCTTTAAAGCCTCAGGTGAGATGCTACGCGGATTCACCTTGGAGAACAGGCCATTGCGACTTCTCCTGTTGATAACCCCTCAGCTGCAGGGGACAAGCTCAGTACCCCACGTTCTCCTGCTGGGTGCTGCCATTGCTTTGCCAGCTTCTCCTGCTGCTTACTTGTACCAGCAGGGACATAAGGCATGACAGAAACGGGATTTTTACAGCAGCAACAAGTAAAATGTCAAACTAGCACTCAGGAGACAACTTGGAAGCTCAGAAAAGTTCAGCTTCCTGCGTCAGGAGGCCTCCAGAGGCCCTTCCCACACATGAAGGGCTGTGACCCATGTCCCCACGGGAGCTCAGTAATGCAGGTTGTGTTTCTTAGCTTCCTTTTCACGCTCGTCAGAGGACTGCTTATTCCCTACTTTCCTGGTGACCCTGGCAGGTCTGATGTTAAGCTGTACCACCACAGGTATACAGAAAACCATGGTTCACTGCAAGGTAATTGCTTCAGGCAAGTCATAGAGGGTTAATACAGGTCCACACTCAACATCCTTTACAAGTTTCACTTCTACAATGAACTCGGTGGATCATAGTGCCCCCAGGTCTATCAGCAGAGTCTGCCTACACAGATTTCGTAACCAGATTACATATCCAGAATCACTAGATGATCTTGACTGGACTTCCAGATATCACAGATCAAGAAACAGGTTAGAACAAGCCAGTAAAGGCAGTGGCTATGTAAGCTACTGCAGTCTTCACAAACCTCCCAAAATGCTGTTGGGTTTTCAAATCTAGCCCTACACCTCAGCCAGGATAACACAGCCCCACAGTAAATAACCACCACACATTTTACTATCCCATGGTCACCTTCAGAGGTGGAGCTAGAAGCCAGGCAGAAAGCCCCACTCCACCAATGTACCTGTGCATAGCCCATCTCATGCACAGAGGCAGCCTTAATCTAAAGGCAAAAGGGCCGACAACTCCATACATTGGCCCCTACAACTGATCGTTTTGAATGTCACCTTCTCCCAACAAGTACACTAGTTCCAGCTCCATTACAGTGCCCCAGCCTTGTTTCTAAGTTAGCTTTGGGGTTGCTGGTGCACAAACACCCTGTTGAAACCTGGCTGAAACTAGATCATTATGCAGGTTTCCAGAGCCATGCAAACTCACGCCCAGCCTGCCTTTGGGGCTCTGCAGAGAGGCCCACGCAGCCAGTGTCTAACAGACTGCTGCCAGCCACCGGCTGGATAAAGATTGCTCCCTGAAGGGAGCAGAGGTAAGAGGTTCACCAGCCTCTAGTGTTATTTCCTGTAAAGCACTTTGGAGTGTCTGTACCTGGTATCATCTGGAAGCACAGTGCTCCTCTCCATTCAATTTCTCCGTTTGCTGGTAGGAATTACCAGACAGCTTCCTGAGCAGTTCAACTGCACTGCGACATAACTCTGATCTCCAAAGTGATAGGAAGGAGCTGATGGGCAACCACTTGTACCCCTTCAGATTAAGGGAGGACAATTTTGCAATTGTTCAAATATTTTGTTCAATAAAATAAGAATTTGTCATTGATGGAGGTCACATCTTAATCCTAAAGGACACATTATATTATTGACCATGTTATAACATAGAAAGACATATGGCTGAGTAAATCCATTTTCACTACTGTAACATGATTACAGATTATATTGTTTTTGAGTAGCAGAGCACATGTTTTTAGAAATATTTTGTATAAACATTTTCACTAAAAGCAAAGGTGGCGTGTGTTGCTTCCCTGATATTTCTAGGTAGAGGTACCAGCTTTCCGAAATGGGTGTGAGTAAAATAAAGCTCAGCTCAACTGCATTCTTTCTGATAAAATGCAGCAGTGGCAAAAGCATTTCCCAGCCTTCTCGAAGGAAGGCGGATAGGTGTGTTTGCAAC